CAAAATGTGTGATAACATGTAGTTACAGTGGGGTCAAGCAAGGGGTCCTGGCAATATCCACATATGAGATGTTTATCGATAAGATGTTTTTCCATATATACGTAGTTTTTGTTTGACATCATCTGAAACGAGAGACAGTATTAGCCTTCTTTCGATGTGAGTGTGTATGTGAGTTCGGATGTAGACGTAAGAGAAAATAAAACCAAGATCCATATTCACACCGTTTTCTCCTAATCATCGCACTATATATTAGATACTATTTGATGAAGAAAGTGACCTCGAATATATTGTCTAAAGCAAAATATTCTTAGAAAAACTAATAGAAGAAAAGTCTATTTTTTCAACAAGTGAGCAGTAACTGATGATGTGGTGGTAGATGATCGATTGGAGGTACTCATTGATTGTGTTGCCGTTGTCGGCGTCGGCGTCGGTACATATGTCTTCATAAATTCTTTAATATTTTTATCAGCCTCTTGATTTTTCATAAAATGTTCCTGTACGATTGTTACTAAATCTTTATTTGAATCGATTTTCTGGTCTTTTAGCTCGTCAGGTAATCCACAAACACCGACTCGACATGGTTGATCTATTCCATATAGTCCCAAACAACATGCCCAAATTAATTTCGGTGGTTTCGAATTTTGTTCACTATTGCCACTATGTGCCAATAATTTAGCTTTCTGAGCAATTCTTTGAGCTTGTTGCATGGTCAATCGAATATTATCATGATCAAGATCAACGACAAATCCATTATGGTAGTGACAACTGCCGTGATTAACTTGTGCCGGAATATAATTTTGTTGACATTTGGGACATTGTTTAACGGATTGATCATCGAGACGTTGTGCTTCTTCCTCTTTTTCTTGTTTAATCTGTTCATGCGACTTCTTGAATTCGATATCATCAATTAATAGATTGCGGAGAAATTGATGTTTAACAATCATAACCATCCATTTCTCTTTCAATTGTTCCTTAGCTGCTTCTGTCGTTATCTACAACATAAACTAATGATATTTTAAGACAATATTTTTTTGATTAATTTCACTCACATTACTACTTGAACTTTTCTGTTCAACGACAGCGGTCTTACATTTTTCTCGAATAAATTGATATAAACGTATGTTCGAAATCGATACTGATTGTGACGTTTGTGAATCAGAAATATTGAGCATAACAAGTGAGTCAATATCAAAAATGAGCATCGAACGATTATATTCATCACATTCTTAATTAAACGAAATGATTGAGTTATTTGCGTAAATTTGACTTAATGAAGGATCTTTCAAAACTCTAAGTTCATATCAGATATGGACAAAATCGCACCGCGCCTCCCCGCGCTTCCCCACGCCACTGTTCGCGCCTAGGCGCTAAGCATATCTCTCTTTCTCTTTGCTCTACCAATCAGTTTCTCAAACTCCACCGAATACCGGGATGCTCTAAGCATGCGCTCATCGAAGCTCAGACTAGTGTAGCGTAGGCGTGAGCAACGACGCGGAGAAGCGCGGGGAGGCGCGGTGCAACTTTGTCCATCTCTGGTTCATATTTTATATACTCTTCGAGCTTGTATTTTTAACAAAATTTCTTACATTAGCCAGAAAAATCTTAATTCATTGGAAATGTCAACTTCAGACTTCAAAATGATACATTATGCAAATATCGAAACCAAAGTTGTAGAGGGTATTTAAACATTGTTAGCTGATGCATTTTGAAGTGTATTTTCAGAAATATATAGGATCTTGTCGAGTAGAACATTCTGGTTTCTATAGGTTTACCAGGAATTAGAAAAACACAGGTAAGGAGAAACTAAATAATTAGTAATTCATGAATTTGTAGCATTCCATCTGTTTACAGCTAGAACATGAAAAATGGCGAGATTCGATGGAGATAAAAAATTTACTACGAATACTATAGAATAATCCTCAAAATGAAGATTAATCATTTTTGTTTTTGACTTTTCGATTTGAATTTATAGGGTATTGACTGCTAGAATTTGATTTTTCAGGTGGAGCTTGGTGTAATTGTTTCAATGGAAAAAGTTGAACAAGCTTAATTTTCATTACAAGACTTTGTGCTAAATACCAGCGAAAAAATGTTCAGCTCGATCAATTACATCACGATTACCATCCAACAATAGTCAAACACTTGAGGATACGCTTAATTTAGTATGAAAATGAAACAATCAATATCTTGACTTCATAAAAAAGAAGTTGAGCAAGTAATGCTGAATTATCTTTATCTCTAAAAAAAGGATCTTTTTCGAATAGAGTTATTCCCAAAAACATTGTAGAAGAATAGTCGAACTACTTTATAAACAAAGTACTAGTTATATGGATCATTATGACACAATGGTATCTGTCTGTGCTGCTAGAAAACTCTACCATTCTATTTTTCTATCAACGATTTTTAACTCAATTATTTGATAATTACCGTCAAATGTTGTGGCTAATAATTCGAATATTTGATTTTCATCAAATGCATTATGTTTCGTAAGAAAGTTCATATCAATTATTTGAACTGTGTCAATATTGCGACTTGAACATCCATTAATAAAACGTGAAAGCAATGTTAATGTCGATGTTTCTTCAGAATTGAGCTCTTTTTCGTCTGTTGCATCATTATTGAATTCAATGAAACGTTTTCGATTTTGTAAATCAACAAGAATACGACCTGATGGTGACTTATCAGGTAATTTAAGTGAATATTTTTCTTGTTGTTCTGACGATGAAATAATATTTGGATTGAGACGACACATTTCTGGTAATGTTCCAATACCGAACCAACAACTAAATTCTCTTGCTGTATTATCAGCCAGTTCAAGTAAAGTCTTATCAGTTAGAATGTCTGAATTTCGACGTTGATTCATGGCAACAATAATACTTGATTTAAGTGCACCAACTGCTGCACCACTAAAATTGGTTGTTACTTTGATGAGAAAATTAACGCGATCCGGTGTGAATGCTTCCAAATATTTAAACAACAATGGTTCAAGCATTTTCTTTCGAATTTGAGGTGATGGTCGACCGACAAAACATTTTGCTTGCATTCGACGAAGAAAAGCTTCATCCATCATATTACGTCGATTTGTCGCACCAAATACAATCAAATTTGGTATATTTTTAACACCTTCTATATGTGAAAGAAGTACACTTATTCCGTCGACTTTCGATTGTTGAGCATTATTATTACGTTTAGGAACAAGTCCATCGATCTCATCTATTGTCATAGCACATATTAGATAACGTATTGTGTTTGCACGATACATAATATCGACAAGCAATCTTTCTGTTTCGCCTACATACGGTCGATTAAGTTCACCAGCTGCCAATGGAGTTGTCGTCATTGTAATACCCGCAAATATGGCAGCTTGTTTCAGTAATTCAGATTTACCTAAGTACAATATAAACATATCAGTGAAATTCAAATTAATCATAAATAGTTTGCACAAATAACAAATTTAGCATAAAAACAACAATATCAAGTTTTTCTCTCCTTTTTCTGGTTGTTAAAGTCATGTTAAAATAGTGGATGTCAGTTTACAGTCAAAGCTACTGGCAATTCGAGTCATATAGAAATAGTCTATATTTACTAGCTAATTCAACTAGATAAAAAATTGATTGTACATATGCGGTTTACTTTTTTTAGTATCTCTCGTGTATACCCTCAAGCAAAAGTGTGAAAATGTTCACCTCTACTGGATTGCACTTAATGTACTAGGTGGGAAATAATATTTTGCCAAGAAGGTACCGCCATAATTTCAATTAGAGTAAATAATGAATTTTATATCAAACATAAGAAATCTCTAGAGACAGAGTGCATGAGAATGGTTTTCTAAGGGATAATGCTGTGATTTTAAATAGGGTCAAAAACAAATTCTATACCAAATGAAAGCGTATCAAAAATGGAATTTATCAATATTAAATAGTAAGGGTTCTGCCAAACTTTTTATATCAATCATAACAAATTTCTTGAAATTTCCGCACTGTTACCTAGTAGAAAACCATCGTTTTGAATCAAGTTTAGTTTTTGAATTGCCTCATAAAAGAAACTTTTTCATATTAAAATAGCGAAAATTTCTAGAAATTGGTTATGTTTGATATAAACAGTTTGATAGAACTCTTACCATTTAATACATATAAATCCCATTTTCGACAGGTTTTCGTTTGATATAAAATTCATAATTTACTCTGTTTGAAATTATAGCGATACCCCCTGGCAAAATATTATTTCCAACCTAGTAATTTCGACTAGCACTGTAACACTTCCAGTTCGAGTTTCTAGGAACTGATTTGATCGACCTATTACATATCCTTACCAAGTACTTTTCTAAGCTTTCTTTTATCTCATTGAATGAATGGGTGAAGAGAAGATCAACATTTACACTCTTGTTGAGTAGATCAGTTCTCCTAGAAATTAGAACTGGCCTATCTGTTTTCGAGAGTGAAACTGTTGTTGTGTCTTGATTTCGACTGATGAGAAACGAAAGATGTTCTTCAAAAACAAAATTTTCATTTTCTATGACTTTCGATGCAATGAAAGCTTGCTTTATGGGAGATCGCACTGATAGGAAAATGTTTGTTATAAAGAGTAAAGTCATGACAGAAATACTGCGAACATTTACTACTAACACCTTTCAAGCATAAATTAAGATATTTTTATTTGTACTTATGCGTTCGTAAATGTAGATCTTGAAAATTTGAACTAGCCGTTTGGTGGAACTTTTCAAACTCGATTTCATAGGAATACTTTCGATATTTCTCAACAGATCATTTCATATAAAATAAACTTTATTTCTTTTGCAGATTTTCGAAAAAAGACTACGTTTTTACATCATGACTTTTCATCATGAAAAGTTCATTTGTTGTAGTCAAAATCAACTCGTAATGAAGATTTACATTATGAAACTTGGCGCCAGTTCTAAATGAATGTTTTTTTTTCTTGATAAACATTAGGATTCAGATTGATTGCCCAAAAAAGTAGATTCTGTGCTATATAAATTTATGCTAATTTAATCCTTCTTACATCCTATCAGATTGGGCAGGCTTAGTGCTTTAGCGCTACAAACATTGAATTATTGGTAAGAACAAGAAAATCATTTGACGTATTCTTTTCTCCGAGAGTTGTTAGTAATAAATATTCGTAGTATCTCTGTAGCATACGTTTTCCTATGGTTTTGTAGAGAATTGTGTGCTAAATCTTTTGAAAGACTTATTTATTCTATCACACCTGTTAGATAAGGAAAACTTGGTTCATAAATAGATCTAATTATTTCTATCATAGCACAAATATTTCTACTATATATATATATGGATGAATTGCAACTTTATTGTACCGTTTTGAGAAAAAAATCGATGAAAAAAAAATTTCCGATTTTAGAGATTGGGAGTAGTGCATCTTACTACACTGTATGAGAGATGGATATGAATAAATTTTCCCGACTACCACTGTTAAATTGAGTATAGATCGTGTATACGCATCTTTCACAGCAAATTTATTAACTCGTGAGGAATGTGTTAGAATTAGTTCGCGTGAGTAGTGATAGTCACTTAAACATGAAAGCGACTAATATGCCCTTTATTCACCTTAATCTCAGTTACTGGATAGTTATCCACATAAAAATCTCATCTGGCACTTTTTTGAAAAAATCTCGTGTGACAGTTTGCCAACAATCTCGTGTGACATTTTTACACTATTTTCCTCTCTATTATGCGAAAGGAGCATTTTCTAACCGTGATATTTTCAGCAATATCTGGCCACAACTAACAAATAAAATGATAAAAATTTCAGCTCAATATGCCTTAATTTACAAGAGTTAATACGACACACAAAGTATGAAATCTCGTGTGACATTTAGTGTGACAACTATATTTTCAAATTTTATTTAATGTCCCTTTCTTAATAAGAATAAGTAAAACTTTCGAATCATCTTTGGTAGTTTTATTCCCCACTGATAAGCTTTCATTCAAAACCAATCTGACAAATTTTGAATGCTTTGTTATATAGCAAAGGCGTTTTTAACCTCTTGAATCCCGCTGTCTTCAGACTGAAGACAAGCAGGACTGGCGAAATCGACCAAGTTTGACAAATGAAAATGATTGGTTGGAACTTTTACAGAAAATCAAACGAATTTTTCTGCTTCGGAAAATGCCAAAACTGTCCGGTGCTCCTCCAGCATTCTCGAGATATTCCTTATTCTAGTTCCAAATTATTGTAAAACTAGCGCCATCTGTGTTACATTTTTGTTAATATCTTCAGAATGCTGGAGGAGCACCAGGCAGTTTCGGCATCTTCCGAAGCAGAAAAATTCGTTTGATTTTCTGTAAAAGTTCCAACCAATCATTTTCATTTGTTAACTTTCGTCGATTTCGCCAGTCCTGCTTGTCTTCAGTCTGAAGACAGCGGGCTCCAAGAGGTTAAATCTCGTGTGACACCATATTGACCATTGACGGTACACCTGATATTCGGAAAAAAATATAACATAAACTGCGATGAAAGAACTAGCCAGTCTCATATCCATGATGTATACACTGTCCACTGTAAATGTCAAAAACTGTCAAAATTCAAATGACAAGAAACCAATTAGTGATGGGTCATTTTCTGTCCATAGGTGGCAGTAGAAATCAGCCATTTTAACCTTGTGTATGCAGTATCTCGGGATAGGCTAATGATAAATTCGTGATTTTTTGTGTGGTAGTGAGCATCAACTACGGCAGCATACTCCGAAATTTTCATAGAGATTGGCCAAGAGGAACTGAAGTTATTAAAGTTTTACATATGGAACTACGAACGGTACAATAAAGTTGCAATTCATCCATATATATCCCGGGTTTCCTAGTCTCTGTTTGCATACATTGCATTGAAAATTTTGAACATTTGCCACAAATATCTTTGAGAAAGTATCATCTAATGCTTTCTTTGATTGGAACTGAGAAAGAAATTTCATTAATGATCGTTTTTACCTGTGCCCGGTGGTCCATAAAGTAACAATCCACGTCCATATTTGACGTTCAATTTTCGATGTACATTGGATATATCAATATTGAGAAAAACATCAAGATTTCGAATTCGTTCATCATCTGTAGCTATTTTGGTTTCCAATTCACTTATTGGCGCTCTATGTTTGGACAATTGAGTTTTCGCTTCTAGGAGACGATCTTCAGCTTCTTTAAGATCTTTCTCATAACGTTCTATCTTTCGTTTTCTTTCATCTTGTTTATGGAATTCTTGTGTCTTATTTTGATTGACTTCAGCAGCGATATCTTTCTTTTGGGAACAAATATTCTCGACACCAAGATTAAAAGTTTTAACTTGATTTTCGTATTTTTTAACTTCTTCCTCAAGTTTATTTACTTGATTACGACGTTGGTTATTGAGTGTCAATAAATCTTCTCGTTCTTTAGTCCATTCAGCACGTTGTTGTTCGTGTGCATTCGCATCAACCATAGTATTTTGTAGACAGAATGTTGTCAAATATTCCTGTATTTTACTAAGAACATTTCCATCATCATCATACGTTGATCGTATTTCGCGAATAGCCCATTCAATAGCATGCCAATCAAGATAAGGAATAAATTCTAATGTATTAGTCACATCATGAAAATAGCGTCGTACTCGATGTATATCAGCGAGTAAACTATCATCGGAATCTGTATACGAATTATTTGATGGATCGAATGTGTGAGAAACAGTACTCAATTGAATATAATCACGTATCATTTGTTTAACCAAATGTTTAACTGCCGTTATTTTCTCCCAAGAATACTCATTCATCGCCGCATTTCGAAGATGTTCAATTGTGGCTATGCTCTCCTCTAATAAAATATAATAAGAAACCGATGGGAACCTAATACATTCGACTCAAAGAAAGCAAGATAGAGCTGGCATCTAAAGAATCGGATTCTATGTAGAAGGGTAGAGTAAGAATTTTATGTTTCTTTCTGAAATGCACTCTCTTGTATAAAATGTGTTCTATCAAGCAGGCATTCATCGAAGTTTCGAATAATGTCGATTCTTTCTCGGTCTCATTTTAACAGCTCAGAACTTATTCGAAGTTCGGAACGATCGCGAAAAAGAAATATATCAGAAGAATATTTCCGAGTGCTTCAATAGAAGTACAATTATAACTATAGTAGTTTTGACTTCTTGGTCTAATTTTGATTATGTGAAACTTCTCTAAAATTCGATTTTAAAATATCCTTTACTTTATAGAAAATCGCAAATTTGAAAAAAAAAGGCTTTCGTATTAGTTGGAGATGCCAAAAAGTGATTTTATTATTTGATGAATTAAAAAGATGCGTTGGATATCCGAACAATAACTGATGAACCAGAAAAAATGAAAATCTCCGTATTTTCTCAACATCTCCTCTAGTTTTCATAGATTCTGACTGAGCTTTTATCTTCTCAAAATATTCAGTAATTTAATCTCTGCAAAATCACATGGAAATAGATATTTTAGGGATGAAAGTAAAACAACGGCTATCATTTAAGTGGTCAGTAAAATAAATGAAATGGTCAGTAAAAGCATATATAAATGATCAGTAGAAATATTGAATTGTCAGTAGTATGACGGTCAGTACTTAATTAAAAAATGGTCAGTAATTAATCATAAAATGGTCAGTTTTCTATATACAAGTATCAGTAAAAATTTCAAATTTGATCAGTAAAAGTGCAGATTTTATTAGTAGAAGAAATAGCTTTATTCATATAAAGATTAATTTATATAAGAAAAATAAATTAAAATAAATAGAAAAAAACCAATGAGTAAATAAGAAGAAATCCAAAAGGTCATTATATGGAAATTCAAAGAATGAAAGCAAAAAAGAAAATGAAAATTCAATTATTATACTAGCAATATAGGTTTAGCCTTCACTAGTCTACCTCTGTTTTCTTTTCTCATTGATCGAGACGTTTTTTTTTGCTAGTGGTTTACAATATTTCAAATGAACAGACACATCTACAATGTGTTTGCATATGCAGTTCTTCAAAAAAACCTAAACAGTTGCATTTAATGCTTTCCAAGCTGAGCCATGTTTCATTTCCAAACACCAAATATTAAATGATTTTTGAATTGCATCAAAGTTGTCAATTTTTATATTTATATATTTATTTAAATCGACTTATGTAATCGATTGTAAATGACTAGCTCGAATACAATATTATTCTGAAGCATCATTTGGAAGGTCAACTAAGTTTTTTGTTGATTTAGCCCATTGATAGGATAAAGTCTACAATCTGAAGATATTGTTGATTCTGTAACAAATATTTTGCATTAATTGAAGAAGAGTTTCGTCCAGTTCACCAACTATCGACAATATTTGAAGCCATTGTCAAAAATCTCCATAAAACATGACATTCTCTAATTATTTCATCATTTTTGTTTCTTTTATTAATTGCCTCTAAGGCGCTGTCTGCACGGGTGAGGTGATAGTATAACACGCTTCGATGTTTATACTTACCATTTAAATTAATTTATTGACCTTTAAATATATTAACGAACCAGTTATTTTAATAACTGACCATTTAAATAATTTACTGATCATTCATTTTTTACTGACCATTCATTTATTCTACTGATCATTTCATTTATTTTACTGACCATAAATTATATTCCCTAAAACAACTTATGATAGTGATACTACGAACATGTGACATGAACAGTTTTAAAGCATAAAATACTTTTTATTTGTATTCACGTGTTCTCTGACCAAACTATATAGAAAAATGTCAACTTTGTAGTATTTCAAAACCTGTATTTTATTAGTATATTTAAGAGCTTTCGTTCATGAAGCATTTCTTCTTTTTCAAATTCAAAAACCACTTGTTTTTTATTTGAAATAAATAATCCTTGCGGAGCTCTATTTCAGTTCAATAAGGTTTTCTTGTGAAAGTTCTTTAACGGACTAATAAGATGAAACTTTTGAAGCTCCACAATATCAGCAGTGTAATTATTCTACATACTTCGATAGGAAAACATAAATACAGAATAACTGTACTTTGTGTTTAAAATCTGTTGATGTTGCATGTCTCGCAATATTTCTATAGTAACTGTTTTGCTTGTTTTTATCTAGATGAGAAACATTTGTATATGATTTTACAGAGAATTAAATGCTGAGATTTTTGAAAAAAAGTTCAGGCCGAATCTATAAAAACTAGAGAATATACGCATATCCTCATTCCTTAGGGTCCACTGGTTAGTTCTCATTTAGTTTAGATGCTTGATGAAAGGGACTCTAAACTACCGATATTCAAATCTTCTCTTTCACAAATATTCGATAGGTTTTGAGGGCTCAACAATGAGCCATCTTGAGGGTAAAAATATTTTTTATTTTACTTAAAGTCTGATCTATTCTGAAACTGTCCATCAAAACAATTCAAGATAGAGTTCTCGATCTATTGGAAAGTGGCAATCCAAGCGCTCGACTAGTTGTTAGTAAGAAATTTTATGAATAAATGAATATATACATTCAAAACAAAAACGCATATACTGACAGACGATTCATCCAAAAAGTATTCTGACATTCAAAAACCATCCCCGGGTCTCCTAACAAATTGTATGAAACTGCCAGGATGTGTTGACGCTGTAATGAAGAGGTTATGGTAAAATTGTCAGCTCTATACTGTGACGTTTGAGAGAGATATTCACCAAAGCAAGAGTAAAGAAAAAACATCGTTTGGCAATCCGAAATGCTTTGTGAACTTTCGTTCTATATATTGAATATTTTTTTCTTTGAAAAGCATGCCAGAACTTTTTATCTAACTCTTAATTTTTAAGCACAGTATATAGAACTGAAAATTTTAGCCTAGTTGTGCTTCATTCAGAGATAAATACATGTTTGTTTGGAAATAGAGATTTTCTTTCATATTTGTCATCAGTCAGCATTAACTAGATTGTATGTCTAGCATTTTTTTCACTTGTAGTTGATTATAAATAAGTTCATACCTTTTAAAGCTTTTTTCCAAAGAATTGCTTCTCCTTCATCACAGTTGTTTTGTCGACAGATCTTTTTGAGAAGATCATCAAGAGTGACGTCATTATCGTTGCTTGCAGTATTTGTTGATACATCTTTCATTTTCATTTCTTCTCGATGCACTTGAACTTTAGTCGTTGGACTTGTTTTCCACACTTTTGGAAATTCACTTCGATTGGGCTCATTACATTGATAGTCGATTTCAAGAAGATTAAGCAAATAATTGAAATTCCACGGTCCGAAAGCATCATTTTTTCGAATGAACAAATTAGGCCTATATATTGTGCGTGCACTTTGATTGCTCATATCGATCGGTCCACGAGTTGATATGAGTGCATATTGATGAAGTACTGAAACACATTGGCCATTTTCGCTGCAACGAATATGTTCGTTTGGTCGCATGAGTTCATCGACAAATGCTTGCAAATGTGCAGAGCTATGTTTTAATCGAATATTCAGTTGGATAGCATCAAGAATTACAGCTTCAGTTGAATCCGAAAATTGTTTCGCTGTACTGCCCACTGAACACATACCGATTCCAGTATCAGTAGTAGTAGTAGTAGTAGTCGTTTTAGAACTATTCTTACTCGGTTCGAACAGTTTCCATGCATACTCATCGTCATCACTCATTCCTATAGTCTATGACTAGGAAGTACAAAATTATCTAAAATTCTACAATTAAATACAATATTAGTTCAATACTTGTGAGGTGAGTTTCTTTTCTCAAGAATATTTCAAAACATGGAAATCATCCCTATTCTCAGTTGAGTTGTAAACTATGGTTTTTCTCTTGTATAATTATTCTTTCTTCTATAACAGGAGTTTTCTTTTGAAAATTTTCATTAAAATAATGAATATTTGTGTTTGTAATTAAATTTTATTGATTAAGCTAAAATGACTTGAAAATATCATCCATATTTAATATTTCTAGCATATAGGCGAGCTCTATCTAAGGAGTATCTATTAAGTTTCGATCCTTTTAAATCCATACTAGATTTTGAGCTTTCTACATCTCTTAGTTACAGCAATAATAGTAACGTAAAATTCATAGAAATTTTAAAACCTTTTCTTTTTGCATTGTTTGTCTAGAAGAAATATACGGTTATGATTATGCCTATTGTGAACTTCTTCTAATCGGAAAAATTATTCGTTCTACTAGATAATAGCCAAGGAAGAATGTAGTCAATACATACACTTCATTTATTATAAAGAAGTCAGCCACTATATATATAGGTGTATGAACAATACGATGAATCTGGTAATATATGAGTGTGCCAAAGGAAAATACCAAATAGAGAATAGAAGAAAATATATCAATGAATAGAAAGTAAAAGAAAAGAATTGGAAAATACATATGACAGAAAAAGAAAGAAAATATGCGTCATGGAACAACACGTGGAAAATTCCAATATATAGAAGAGAACGTATCGAAAGTCAAAGATGACAACAGATGATAATATGATTCCTTAACACTGTGCTCTTCAGATTGATATATCACTTTTTTCAATCGACTTAGTTTTTTCTTTCATTTTAAAAGACGAACAATGGCTTGTTTAAAACATAAAAATTATCTGTCCACCCAACTGCTCGTACCACTCATTCGTACACTTCACTTTCTTTTCGGGTTTCATCCATCAAACATAAACGGATCGTACCATTTGTCTCAGGTGATAATTGCATGAATAAATGGTAGTAAGACACAAGAGTGATTCATAAAAAAAGTTCTTCGGAGAATAGCAATGATCAGTTGACTATAAATTATTCGATTTCGAATCTTTCTAGAAACTCATTCAAAAACTTCATATGAGTTTTGCATTAGTTTTATTGAAGTGTCTATAGGAGGTAGAAATGTAGAATAGATCTAGACATATGTGATGTACCAACGTATTCTAGTCAACAAATATATAAAAGAAGAATATTATTTGAGAAGATCAAAACTTATTAAACACACTTTGTCTCGTTCGGGAGATAAATGAGCTCTCTCTATTCAATGATATTACTCTTCTATCATATGATAATAGACGATTTCACCTTCGAGTATAGTTCTTTTCAGTTGAGAACTATCTGAAAATAGTCACTAGTAGATATTGGACAAATGAAACCTCTCGAGCATTGGCGTTCAGTAACTACTTTTCTTTCCAACGAGCTACTAAAACTATACGCGCCGAGCTTCTCCGCAATTTTAATCTGTGAGTCTTGTGAAAGCTTCAGACATGTAATAATGAGTGAACTATTTGGAATAAATTGACGTCAAAATTTAATTTTTATGTGTAAAAATAAGCTTCGCATAGAGTGTTGACTAGATGAAACTATCAAGCTACGTAAAAAGTACAATACTGAATTTATGTTGATGTTATAGACAAGTTAAAGTGAGGTTTTTCAAAATACTTTTGTTTTCTTTTTACAGAAAAACAACGTTTCAGAATCTTAGATTTGAGGAACTATGATTTATTGACAGGAAACAAAAAGAATCACTTCAGACTATTTTTGACAACATATGAAGTGTTTCAGAAGTTTTGTAACAATTTTGAGATTCGTCGTTCTCGTGTTCAACAATAGCAAACTTCTTCAAACTTTGGTAGATTATTATACATATCAACTACTACATAACTATAAAGTTTTGAAGTCTATAGCTTTTATTATGTATGAGAACCAGTAACAAAATTGTCATGTAAGATATTTGGTGTTTCATTATGACAATAAATAACACGAATATCGATAATTTCAAGTAGTTTGCTTTTGGTGAACGCGAGAACGATGAATTTCAAAATTATTACAGAACTTTTAGGGCACCGCTCATAGATATCGTCAATGAATTAAGGCTCATTAAAATAATAAATAAAAATGAGATAGACACAGCAAAATGAATCAAGAAGATTACTGACTAACAAACACACTTATCAATCGATTGTCGTGATCGATTTCATATTTGTATCAATTGTACCTAATATTCACTACAACGAAATGAATAAAATCCAATCTATGGAGAAAATTTTGTGTCGCAGACCCATTGATTTCACTTGGTATTGTGTATATAGTAGGTTGAAGTATGAGTGAAGTGTGGAGCTTTCGATTTTATCCTCCGGGATTCCTTAGAAGAATCAAAGTAAGTCTATAGGACTACAGATACTATATTATCTTTTTACACTAATGAAATGCTCGTCAGACATAAGAATTATGAAGTAACTACGGATATACTCTACGTCTCAAAATAGACTCACTTTGTTATTTCTTTTATTTCTGCGCAAGACAAGGTAATAATCATACGAAATGAGAATAAATAGTATATAATATATTACAATGATCAAGAGTGATTTGATAGAATATATCAGGTGTATTTTGATGAATATTCATTTAAAAAAAAATATTCTGATGGATGTTACCTTTTCGAAATAGTCATTAACATTAGTGACACTGCTTTGATATGTGAAAAAAACAACCCTGTCTGTCCTTTATCGTTAGCGGTTCCAACACTGTGTGCTTATTTTCTCACAAAAGTGTTCTTTTTTTACATTTGTCACAAGGCAAACTGTATTCATTTTCTATTCGTAAAAAAAAAACAGCCAAAAATCAGAGTAAAATTGGTTTTTTCCATAATAATCATAAAAACTCAATTAGCTATGTCATATTTTGATTAAGAATCAACAAAATAATAAATTAAGATAGATTTTTTTGCGCAAAAACCAATCAAAGCCGTTTTTTCTTGATTGCAAGAATAATTTTTTTTTAAAGTCGTTTCGTTAACAGTAGTATAAATAATGGATTGAAAACCGAATCGATTTCAATCGTATAAGAAGGTTATTAAATTGTTTTTTGTTTGAAGTTCTTGACTCATATAAAAAAAATCAGGTTAAAATGCATTAGAGCTTGTGTCAGAATTCATTAAAATCATACACTTTTCTGTCGTCATAACTATGTTATTCGATTTTTCTGAAATTATCTGAAAAAATCAGTTAGATATGGTACTTTTAGATTAAATTCAATACTGAAACAATTGATAAAAGAGTTTCAACTTTACTATATTTTGGCAACTTGAGTTTAATGACAATTTGTAAACACAAGGAATCGAAATAATCTTGGAAAATTGAAGATTTCGTATTCGAATATTGAGAGAGCCACTTATCTTCAATACGTACGATTAAAAGATAGCAGAAAATTACAATAAACTGACAGGTAATCATGAAAAAAAAACCGGAAAAAATCTGATTATATGAGATTTTTTGTTATTAAAAAGCAGAGGTGCAGAATCTTCCAAAAATCCAAAAATTTCCCCCCACGCAAAAAAGTTTTTTGAAAAATTTCCCCACTGTATTTTTTTTTGGCCAGCGGGTTTTTCCAAAATTTCCCTATTATTTGAGTTTTTCAAAAAATTTCCCTCCCCGCGCGGGGGCGCATGAGGAAGATTCTGCACCTCTGTTAAAAAGTGATTATAATCACATTATTAAAATCTAAATCTAATTAGATTTACAATAATAAAAAATCAATTATAACCGATTGTTTGGAAAAATCTATTAAAACTGATCAAACTTGGATTATTAGTCTCATTAGAATCGATTTTTAATCACAAAATACATGTTTAGTCATATGAAATTCTCGTTCAATCTGATTGACAAATGCTTCTGTACGTACCAAAGTGTAATATAAAAGACAACTAAATCGAACCTCGTCTAGTAACAGTGTGAGAAATCTTACTGAAAAAAAAGAAATAACTCGCCTACCGTATCTTGATGTTAAGATGAGGAATGGAAGTTGATATTGAGATTTTAGTAATATAGCAAAGCTCAAGATAATGATAAGAGGTGACGAGAAAAAAATAGAATAATTGCAAGTTAAACAAGTTCATTAATCATTTATTTATTTTACATTAAAAATACCGTGAAGCTTTTAATCTCTTTCAAAAGGACATTTTCAATACTAAATGATAATAAAAAAAAATATATTGATGTCGTCGATATGAAATATTCAGAACAGAATGAAAAGCAAAAAATAAAAAAAAAACAATCGTCTTAGATGTTATCTGTATATTTCTTTCTTATCATATGATTATTGAAAATAATCTTTTCAAAGAGGACAAAAGCTTCACTAGACTTTTTGTGTATAATAAATGAAAGATTAATGAACAAGTTTGTCTTGTAATGAGTTTATTTACTTATATTTCATTCAATAATATGACTATTAAGAAAATAGAAGTAAAATTATGAACAATACGAATAACCGATGTCAATAACTGGGAAAAAACAATATCAATAGCAAGAGAAATAATCCATATCAATCATTGGGTAAAAACATTGAGAACAACTTATTGAGGCAATAAACCACCGGTATGAGTCAGAGAGAACGTAAAAGAGCAATTGACAGGGGGAAGAAAGAGACCAATGATCCATACTATAATAGTAAGCCGTAAGAGTGACCTCTTTTGATGTTAACAAATAATGACAATACCGTTGTAAACTTATGCGTGATTGATACGAAATTAATGCATATGATGGGTACTTGTATGTATATGCTTTTTTATTAGTTCAGCTCATTCTTGATTTCACGCTAGATTCTGTCCTTTTTGTGACTTTAGTGCCGTTAGTTTTTCACATTTAAATTATATTTTGACAGCAAAAAGAAAAAAAATATTGTAATTAATTTAGATGAAAGAAAACAAGGTTCATGAAAATTTTCCTATAACTATTATTGTAAGACATGACAAGTGAAATAATATGAATATATTTAAAAAAACTATCATTTTTTCGCCTAATCAAATAAATAAATCTGTTTAAAAAATTGAAGAAGTGATTCACAAGAAATTCATTCACTCATCGTCATTGTACAATTTGTCGAGAAGATTTCGCAAAGACAAAAAAATCAATGAAACTTATGTAAATTAATTTGCGTAACTCACTGAACTAGTCAATTCCAACTTGAAAGACATAAGTGTCTATTGAATGTTCAAAAAGATTTTTTTTTATAATTTTCTTTTCAGGTTAGATTTCTTTAATAAGTTCTCATTAGAACGCAAACAATTATCTATTCATCTCGGATACAGGGCAGGTGAAGATTAAAAAATTGATTTTTACTGTTGATTACTATTACAATATATCGTTTAACTGATTTTAATTTCTTTTTTTTCCCCCGCTAAAATTTTGACACTAAACAAAATTACAATCAATAGTCTCAATTTTTTCGATTGTGATCTAAAAACAAAAACATGAGACAATTTTTTTTCATTTTCCTTAATATATAATTCTCTTTTATGATATGAGAATTTTCGATTAAACTTTGATCATTTTATTCATTCAATGTAATCAACCACCATATAAAATAAAAGCATTATAAAACTAATATTTAATGCAAAAAAGAAGAAAAAAAAAATTATGTCAATATGTCACGCGAGATTATAACGTGTATAATATTTCATTGCTAAGGTCAAAGTAAATATCTTCTTTATTAATTTAGTTCACATTTTATATTCTATCAAAATTACTGTGAACTAACTTGCTCATTGTGTCTAACGGAAAGTATATTGTACAGATGATGTTGTATCATGAAATTTCATTGATTTTTCTAAAACATGATTCAATTCAAAATTATAAGAACAAGGCATTTTTGATTTTTCTGAAAAATTAAACACAATTAACAATATCATTTGAAAGAACATAAAAATTTAAACAAGAAAACAGCGAAGTTTTAATACATTTCGGTTTTTATGATGCTTGTAAAATTGCAAGTATTACAAATGTCTTCTCTGACTTGAAAATCACGATGTTCGATTTTTAAAAAACATCCTTACATAGTTCAACTGTATTCAATATCAGATAAAATAGCAGACCTTATTATTGACGATCGTTTCAAAGTACTATCCATTTCAAAATATGATGTGCTTCACTGTTTTTTGAATAACTAATGATCGGAACATCATAGAAATCTGCAATTTTGATCATTCAAGAGAAAACTCGCGGTCATTGAAATTCGATTAGTGAGTAACTGATTAATCTGGCGAGTTCTTGTTGAAGATTTTCGAAAACGATATTCTGAAGTTATTTCTCTTTCAATCTATTTAATTGATCTGGCACTGTTGTCTCAATACATCTGACATTATGCAATCGGTTTTCAAGTAATGAAGAAGTCGACATTTTGAAAATATTAAGATAGCAGTGTCAGATGATTTCGAGTCTAAAAACAGGAAATTGAGAATCCTCAGAAAAGTTGATATATTTCAATGGCTGTGGATCTTCTCTCTTGAGAATATATTTTAAGAAAATTGAAGTTTTAATTACAAAAATTATGTTTTTGTGACATATGATAATTCTGAAAGCTCCAATGTACGATTTACAAGATAATTGCACATAATATATCATTCTCGTGAAAAAGTAAAAATAGAGATGCATAATCTTTCATTCTGGATTAAACTACAAAATTTTTGATAATTATTGAATTTTCTCTAAATTACAATGATTTTCTTTATTAACTTCAGTTGTATTTAACACCCGAAAAGGGATCGAAGATTTTTGCTATATTCTTCTAACGAAAAACCTTCCTTAGAAAAAAAAAATATTTTTTAATATGAATCAATCAATTTTCTATTACAAAACAAAGTCATACTTCTAACTTACACGACAAGAAAAAAAAAGAAAAAATAATATTCTACAGGAATGAATTTTGTTTAAAGATAAATATGTGCAGAATACTAATATCAGACAAAGAAAAAATTTTCAAGCATAAAATTCTTTTGATGCTACTCTTGAATATGCATGTGTTGGTGATTTGCTTGGTCCTTCTTCTAATGCATATGAACCTTCATCTTTTTTACGCATTCGATAAATTATAAACATAACAAGAAGAATAGCTGACACCATACCAATACTTATTCCACCAATAATACCTAAATTATAAATGTTTATTTATTTTATTAAATATTAATTTCTATTTACCAATAAGAATAGCTGGTCTAGAAAATAGAATACGCAAAATATGTGAAGAAACAACTGGCATTTGAGATGTTGATTGAGAAATAAAAGATTGTTTATTATTAGAATCGATTATTGGATGTTTAGATACAGGTCGATTACCAGGTTTTGTATTAGCAAACATATAATTTTTTACATCATCACTATCATCTTGATAAGAACCTATTTCATCATCATATTCATTGAATTGTGTTTCTTCATTCAAATGTGATGTTATACTATTATTTAATTTTAATTGAGGATCAGTTCTTGAAGGTGAATCCATTCTAAAATCTTCCTCTTCTTCTTCTTCATCATCATCATCATAGATATTTTCTGCATCTAAGATGAAAAAAAATAAACAACAAAAAAAAACAATTGTTTTCTTTTATTCATACTATTTTCAATTTCATTTTCATAAATATTATTATCATCATTATTATTTAAAATTGTTAATATTGTTGTTGTTGTTGTTGTTACTGTTATTGTTGAACGAGAATTAGATATATCTGTTGGTATAAACTAAGAAGAAGAAAAAGGATAAGTGATGTTATCTCTAGAGATGTACAATAATTATAGTTATGTGTTTGAATATAACTTATTTCGATTCTGTTTTTTTGTTTTTTCATCTTGTTTAATCTCCCGAGGGTATTCAATAGATTTATAACATCGATTTATACTTTTGATAAAAAGAATGATCAATCAATTTTTTTTGAGAGAAACTATAATAGCAATTTAGAACTATGATTACAAAAAGTTCACAAGAAATTATTCTTTGAAGGTCAACTGCTAATTAAATTTAACTCAATCAAATTAACGGATCATAATTTAAACGTCTATGGAAAGAAAATAATTAATAAAAAAACGTACTTGATTTGATTGAGCAATAGCTAATATTGAATTTTGTATAAGAAGGATAAATACTGTCAACATATATAAAAAATGATATAAATTTTGATCATGATAATAAATATTTGCCATTATAATATTTGTCAGTTGAATAAAATAAGAAATTCTTATCTCTGGATGATGTCACGATTATTCGAGCATAAGAAGCAAATGAAATCCATTAGTAATAATAATACTAGTTTTCGTTGTTTGTAAAGAAGAAAACAGGAAAAAAAGAAAATGAGTATTGTTATGTAGAAATGTCGCTCACTCGATATCTATCTAAAGAGAAGAAGAAGAAAAAAATATATATTTATTAGATAGAATCAGGAAAAAACACATCTTCTTTGTTAATTTCTAGTCGCAAATAAAAAAAAAGCAGAAAAATCATTATAGTTACTAAACAAAACAAAAAAAGAATGTCGTGACAACAATTCTATTCAATACATTTATTCACATTTTATCTACTCGTTTTATTTATTTAATGATCGTAATTTCATTTATTTGACACTTACTAACATTCAATTCTTAAGTTAATTGTACATTTACAAAAAAACAAAATTATTCGTTTTACATACTGTCGACATAACCCTTTCGATGAACATCAAGTCAAACAAGATGACATATGTTTTTCTTTTTACTGAGACTTTTTATAATACTGACTAGTACGAAAGAGAAAAAAAAATGCATTGTTCACCGTTGGTGCTTGTTCACTTAACATCCTTTATTAAAAAAAAAAGAAAAAGAAGAGAATCGGACAATGTTACATCATCTATCTGTGCAATTTGAGAAAGAAGAAAAATTGAACAAGCATACATGATAGAATAAGAGCAAAAGAGAAAATGTCAACTGAATAGATAGACAAATGTGCTCTTGTATGTATGAGTATGGCAAAATAGTTGCATCATACCATCATTTAGTTCGTCTTTTTTTTTCTTCTAGTCACTTGTTACTAGTTAGAGAATTCTAGATTTTCTTTGTCATATTAGTCAAACAAGAATTAATCAATATACTGCTATGATAATAGTTTCTTATTTGTAATATAATATATGTAAAGAAAAACTTCATATTCTCTTCTTTCATGTAATGCATAAAAATAAAGATGATCTATATTGATAATAAAACAAAAAGCATTCATGCATTAATAGATAGAAGATTATAAAGGTAGAAACAAAACATGAATCTTTACTTTAATGTAACAATCAATAGTAAAAAAAAAAAACATTTCATTTAATAACATGTTAATGGTAAAATGCTGTTTAGTATAACTAGATAATTCTTTCTTTTCTTCATAATACATCTTAATATTTATCTCATTATACAACTTAGGAAAAAAAAAAAGATCAATCAATTTATATGCATACATTCTTGTTTACAATCGGCTACTAACTATTAACATTTTTCAATTTTCTGAATGATATGTCATGCAAACAGTTTCATCTCCGTTTTTTTTTTCTATGACTGATGTTAGTCTTCTTTAACTCCCTTTTCTTATATGTTCGTCAGATTCTAGTGTCGATGAGAGTGTTTTTCTAGCATGAATTGTTTCCTTACGGATATTATTAATGTAGACGCACGATGAAGAGTGTTGTCATGCTTTCATTTCTCTATCTGAGTACATTCGATTTATGAGAAATCGAGAAAAACTTAATAGTTATTATTGTTGTATAAAGTTGTTAGAACATGTCATTTATGATGATACTCACCAGAGGGTTATAATAATTATTGACTGTTGACCGACTAGTATCCGTTGTATATATATAGAGAGAGAAAGAGAGAGCAAGTGAGATTAAATAAAATGGTCCGTTTGCTCTCTTAATGTGTCAAGAGTTCAGTCAAGCATCGCATGGAACATAGTAAAAATTCAATATATTTTTAAAAAATTTGATCGATGGTACGCGTGCCTTGATTATTATGATAATAAAATGCATAACAATCATGATGGGAGACCAATCATTGAACATTATGCTCTCTTTAATATTCATTTTTTTTTGCTTGTTGCATATGTCTGTTCGACAATCATGTCTAGACACAATGAAGGAGTGCAGTGTCATACAGATAGATGTGTGTAGTATAAGAAAAGCTAATGAATATGATGATTGTTTATAATTCATCGATGATGAACAATTACCCAGTGTATATATATATACAAAATGAAAATGACGAGAGACTAGAAAAAATAATAATTTATCGAAATGTCATATAAATAAAAAAAATCTATAAATTTTTTCTAATCCATTTGTTTGTATAATAACAATCAAATAAAAAAAACCAAAACTTCTCGTCATAACATTGATCAATAACTATATTCACTTAGATTACACAATAGAAGCATTTTTAATGACAAATAACAATGATATGACTAGTTTCTTTTTTTATCAATAGAAAAAGACCAATAAATAATAATGTCTCATTCAATATGATCATTACTTTATAATGTGTTAAATTGGATGTGAAAAAGAAAAAATGCAGAAGCCAGCTGTCAAACGACATATAAAACCATACAGACATACTTCACTAATTTTTTTTTTTCTTGAAAAGAGACAAAGAAATACATTTGTTTAATAAAAATGATCGTAATTATCATAATAGAAGAAAATGAACAGTACCAGAAAAAAAACCTCATGATATGAAAATTTAAATGAAATTTGTGACTAGACAGATGTTTTAGATATTGAACTATAAATAAATAATTATTAACCTTTCAGTATTATTACCAACATCATTAATAGTTTGATTCAAACAATAATAAGCGCTTATTAACGTTCAATATCTCGTTGAAGAGTTACACAATGCTACTTGATAGACTATTAAATCAAGAATTGAATGTTAAATGTCATTGAATTTCTATGCTTCAAATAATAATCTACTTCAATAAAACTGAACGGATATTTTCAATTTAGTCTATTAGATAAAACCTACACAATAGTTTATAGATATCTGAATAGATCTATTTTTTATGTGGTTTGGGTACTTCTTATTTTTTTTTCTCTTCCATACTAATATGATGATGATATTTAAATAGAAGCAAAAAAAAAACAATATTTTTTTAAAGAAAACAAGGAAGTCATGTAGACAGAAAATAACATCGTTCTACGAAATATTTATTAATTCAATACAACAAATAGATAAACTAAATAAAAAAATAGAACAATGAATCAGATTGTGTCATGTCGAAATTATTGAGATTTGAGCTGTATTCGGCTAATAATCTTTGTTTTTTCCTCAGCCAATTTGTTTATATATTATTCATTTTCAAACATCCTACTGTTACATAAAGTTGCAGGTCTTTAACTCATACTGTGACTGAATTATCGAAGATAGATTACCAAAAAAAAAGGGTCATTGTTTGCTGACATGTGCACAGAAAAGTATGTCATTAGTCCGTTTTATACAACGTTTGACGCTCTATCAAAACATATAACTAATTTCTAAAAAACAAAACTATTCTACTCACTTTGTAGAATGATGATTTTTCAGTGAATAAAGCTAATTATATTACTGAATTTAGAAGAAATTAAATTATGTAAAGTATGTTTCTCTTAATATTTAGTGAAGTATTATGTGATACTTATATAATCTGTTAAGAAAACCGAAATTCCTTTTTGTTGTAAATTTTAGAAAAAAAAACAGATGAACGATGATAGTCTATGTGAACCTGTACTGTTTTATATTATTAATATTCTTTCCTTTTATGAATTACATATGGTTCTTTGTGCATTGTAAATTTTAGGTATAATCGAATTACGGCCTTGTTTATTCTTATAGAAAAAAAGATTATTTCAAACATAAGTAATACGTAAATAAACTAGTGAATCAACAATTTACCAACAAAAGTCTATTTAATGTATGCATCTTTTGTTTTCAAAATTCTATTCAACCAATTTGTAGACATGGCGAATTCACATATGTACATAATAATCTAAAATATTGAGATCAAGACTGTTTGATCAAATGTATAACAATTCTCTTCCGACCATGTCAATGATTTAATATGTGTATTCATTACAAATTGTGGAACTTTTCACGCGGCGTCTTGTAATGAACTGTTGGGCGTCTTTCAATCTCATGTTAAGGATTCGTGCGTATGACCTACTAAAACAGAGTTATGACTGTTTGAATGAAATTTTTACTGAGAGCAAAGTATTTCCAGAAAATATAAAACAACGAGTTTCGATCTGAAATTTTCATGATTATCAAATGTACCTATAGGAAAAATTTCATGTTGAAACTCTATGTTTTAGATCACGGGAACGAGTTCTTTTAAACTTGTCTTAATATCATTAAGACCTAATTGTAACTATTATAATATGAATTCGAAGTAGAAACCATAGCATCATAGATTTTCTTTTAACGAGTATTGAATATCAACTATATGATCTTTCAAAGCGGTACGATAATTTTTTTTTGTATGGTGAGCAGAATACTAAATTAGAAGTCGAATGTTGACATTTGATTTAAGATAGTCTATTGAATCTGAATCAATAAAAATAAAGTTAAAATAACTTTGTTTGTCAGATCATATTAATATTTTTCCTCATTGATTTAATCGGTACAGGTCTGTGGATATCATCATTCAAACAAAGTTTTATTAATGAAAAATCGTTTGATATATTTTTTCAAAATATGAAGTTTGAAGTTAGATTCGAACCAATCTATTTTTATACTTATACCATTCAATTATTTTATCGATTATTCTAGTACAAGTATCTACAATTGAACAAACTTATGTATTATATTATGAAAGAAAAATGCTGAATTAATAAATATTCATCATAGTATTCTGTCAATTCATTTAGGAAATAATAGCAAAATTATTACTATTTCAAATATATTTTTATTGATTATCACTCTTGAAATAAAAAAAAAGAAAAAAACTCATGATGAAAAACAAAATATATCTAAGCTTTATTAACTAAATCTTCTATTGCTATTGTTTGAAAATCATTATATAAATTAACTAATGCACCTGTATTAACATTTGTATCAGCAGCAATTATAAAAACTAATGGTGGAACATTATATGTTATTATTTGACGTGCTGACCAATATGCAATAACAGTTTTTAATTTTTTTAAATTCATTCGTGAACTTTGATCTTGTAATGTTTGTGCTGATGGTGCAATTGTTCGTAAATCAAGTTGATCAACAATTTCAGCTGTAGGTAATTTTAATATTGGTTGACCATCTTTATCAAGTACAAGTATAGCTTCAATTCCATCAATATGAGCAAATAAACGTGGAAGTGTCATTTGATTTATATGAATAAATGAAAAATAAAAAAACCTAGAAAAAAAGAAAACAATATTGTAAGTAGAAAAAAAATGAGAAGATAGATAAGATGAATATTTATTCGATTGATTGGATTACTAGAAGAATACAAATCGAGAGAATGTGCTTTAGATGTCGCTACTCATAAGAACAAAAGTTCACATGTATAGTGAAAGATATGTAAGTGTATTTCAAACTAAAAAGAATCTTAGTAAAAAAAAAAGGTTCAAGGTATTATTATCTTCACATATAAGGAGAATTGACCGAAAAATGTTGACTTTTATGAAATATTTTAGAATTTGTTTTT